GAAACAGAAAGAGGCTACATTTGAGGAGGATACTATTAAAGGAATAGTACACCCAAAACATGATTAGCCTTCATTTTCTACTCACCCCCATGCTGAACAACACTCTGGAGTACTTTTTTGATATCTCAAATGCATCTGGAGATCTGGGAGGCTTCTTGCTGTCTGCTGACATTCAAATAATGGAGGTCTATGGCGCCCGAGGCAGAAAGGTCCATAAAAGTCCACAAAAAACGTGTCAATATTCCTCCATACTGCTCGTCCAATGTATTCCAAGTGTCCTGAGTGGGTAGCGTCCATAATTTACTCGAAACGAAGTCATTTAGAATGTTTTTAGAGCACAAACAGTAGTGTATAGGATTTCACGAGTCTACGGAAACCGCGGCAGACCAAACCAGATGAAAGTGCGCATTCAGCTCGGCAAAGAACTCATGCTCTTCCTCAACACTGAAGTCCTCAGACATTTTTCTTTCGTTGTTTCTTTCTTTGCACAGGTAAACAGCACATTTCTTCTTCTTCTTCTTCTTCGTCTGGTTTGGTCTGCCGGTTTCCATAGACTCGTGAACGCGGTTACTACAACTTCTTAAACCTCAAATTGTAGTGAATTTTATTTTATTATTTATCTTGTAAAATGTGTTATATCTAAAAAATCTTGCTGAGATACAGTTTTCCCTTTTCCAATTGTAAGTTTTTTTGGCTTATCTCAGGCCCAGAATTCTCATTTTCATTTTGTTTTTGCTCGTTTTTATACTTCCATTATTCCACTGCATTGCAAAAATGGCCAATCTGACCAAATCTAACAATTATAAATTTAGCCAAAATGCTTTTTTGATTTTAATTTGGGATTGATATGCTGTGCAAAAGCAGATTCTTTTAGATTATTAATCTTCTTTTGAGAAAAATTTTCTCAAAATAAGTGCAACAATCTGCACATATATATGTATACTCTTTTTATGCAAGAATTTTTGAAGCAATTTATTGTCCAGAAAATGTTGTCATAGCTGTTCTATGTGGGGAAGCTCGGTGGTGGTGAAGGAAAAACGGGTTAAGCACTGTAGTGGAAGGAAACTGGGTAAAAATATCGCTTCCTTGTTGAACAATCCCTACAGTGGCATGGGGTAGGGTTGTGTAAAGTACTGATACTCTGAAAAGTAAAAGTACTCAAAGACTGTATTCGGATACAATACTATATAATCATTGTATTGTTACTAAAGACAAGTGTTATTTGCATAGTTCTGTTATTATTCGTTTTAAATAGATAATGCCTTAAACTCTTGTAATATTGTGTTATATTTTGGTTATGCATTTTGCATGTATTTGCACACTAAGTTGACTGTTACTGTTGATTCTATTGAGGAAGGTTCACTGTGGAAATTGAAAAAGGTGAATTTATAATGTCAGCTGTTTTTTACCTTTATTGATTTGCTGAAGTACAGGGAATTGTATGTTTCAGTAGGGAACTTTAAATCAGTTACCAGAAAAATTACATGCAGGGTTCTTCAAGGCTCTGTTCTGGGGCCGTGTATTTATCTTTTACCTGCTTATTCTTTTATTCTGCTTTAACTTCTCTTCTATTTTATTGTTTCATTTATATAAAGAATACCGAATTGTCTTTGTACTGAATTGGGCTATATAAATCTGGGCATATACTGAGATTTTTTCAATCGTTGCTACAGCTCACACTTGACGACGAAAGTTTTTGCAAAGTGTGTCAAAAGAAGAGGTCCTAAGTAAAAACGTATTCCTCACTTTTAAGTTTTACCTTCTTCTTTATCATTATGTCATATCTAAGACCATTAGCATTTGCTCTTTCAAAGGAGCAAAATTTGAAAATAGGTCAAAAGATATGAATATTTTATAAGACCCTTGAAATGTTGTAATATTCCGTTCAAGAGTATTCAGTGTATACAAACTAAAGGTTGCATCAATTCTATGATGGTTAACCTGAACAAGATCTCAATTCAAATGATGTTTTTTTTATGTAAATAAGCTTTTGTTCCAAAACAAAACCATAAAAGCTGAACAAGCAGAGGCATGGGTTGATAATTCACCTCGTGAGCAGCAGCTTAACTGATCTCGTTTGGCCTTGCTATTCAAAACAAAGTGTGTGAATGTAGTGGAAACTGAGACAGTGAGACAACACATTCATTTGATTTATTAGTACTAAAAGGTTCATCACATTTTAAATGTTATCTGCCAGATTGCCAAATTGAAACCTTACATTTCTTTAAAGCAAACAGACTACAGCATGAGTCACCTCAGTGAAAATATGCAAATTATGTTTTTTTTTATTCAGTTAGGAATGTAATTAAAGAAATATTATGAGTTATTTTATTTTTTATTTTTTTGGCGTGCTTTGCTTAAAAGTAATCCAGAGAGAGAACCTTGGCAGTCTGTTATAGACGTAACAAAATAAATAACATCAGATCAAACAAACAGAAAACATAATACATCTTTCTTTATCTCAGAATCAGGTTTGCCTGTTTGGCTATGTTATCTACTGATCGGATTACTTGTGGCTGTGTGCATATATTTTAATGAGTGGATATTAGGTCCAGGATATTACCGGTGCTCCATTAGGTTTTGAAGAAAAAAAAAGACATCATCAGCTCATCAGTGGTCAATTTTTGAAAGTTTTATGGTTCACACAAAAACCTAATGAGGATTAAATAGCTCAGAGCCAAAGCATTAAATGATCATCTCTGATGAGTAACACGATGAGTAACGGCCTATTAGAATCAAGCAAGGGAGCAGAAAATGACTGAATCTAGTTTTTATGCTCACCGGCGTAACGGAAAAGCATTTAACTGACTAGTTATGAAAAGGGCTGGAATGAATTCGGATCTGCATCTGTCAGTCATGGCTACCTTGTTGTTACCACTGCTTTAAGAAGCTACTGTAGTGTTGTTGTTATTTAACGAACACAGTGTACTGATGTTCCTTTGTTCTTAGGCTATGGATGCAATAATACAACCAGCTTAGAGAGGAACAGTGGCATGCACAGACCTTTGTGAGGGCAGGGGTGGAAACAACAAAAAGGGCATATATAGTGCATCCTCACCACTGTAAACAGTGCTGGAATTGGGGGAGGGGTGGGGGGGTGATGGCATCCCCCTTCTTAAAAAAATCTTAAAAAAACATCCACCTTCTTAAATGACTATCCCCCCCCCATACATTCCCATGTGACATTTTATTACTGAATGTGTAACATTTCTACTATATTAATAGTAATAGCAATAATATTGCCCTTTCAACATTTGTTGGGCCGTGGGCTTACGAGTAGCCTGAGCAAAATAAATCAAATTGAAGAAGTGAAGCTGATCCCAGTGGAACATTTGTCCTCTGCAAATGGGCAGTGATAGCCATGCCAGTCTATGGACTGACTGCAGTTCTACTGAATGGTGCCTTGCTCAAGGTCAATGACAGGCGTACCTGACATGTGACAACCATTCCATACATTAGTGTGGCGTTGATGCCATGTATCGGGTATCGGGTATACCGATACCCGATACCCGATACATGGCTTTGCAGTATTGGCCGATACCATCTGTTTTAAAATTGATGTGTGTGTGTATATGAAGAACTGCAGACTACTTGGATGTAAAATAATTGCCGTCATGGCTTCATGTCAAGCTGCTGCCTTCCTTTGTGAGGCAGGAAAAAGACTAAAACAAAGTGAATCCAGTAGAAAACTACCATACATACTGCTTTAGATTAATAGACTAATTAGGATATGTATGCTTTCAAAAAATAAATTCCACTATCCCCCTTCTTTTTTTTTTTTTTTACAGCTAGACTACTGACTGTAAAGGGCACTTTAACGTGTACTTTAGCTACCAAGGGGGCATTTTAGCATGCAATTTGGCTCCCAAGAGGAAAATGTAATATGCGTTTTGGGAGTGGCTGCCTAGTGGTTAGGGAATAGAGCTTGGAATCCAGAGGCCAAGGTTCAAGCCCCACTTCCACAGACTGTCACTCTGGATCTCTGAGCAAAATACCCTTAGCCCCACACTGCTCCCTGGGTGCCGCACAATGGCAGCCCACTGCTCCCCAAGGGGATGGGTCAAATGCAGAGAGTGGATATTGTTGCTCTGTACTTGTGACAGTGTAATGACAATGAAACACTGGAAAGGTTTTAGTATGCTTTTTACTGTAGCTCCCAAGGCGACATTTTAACACAAGTTATGGTTCCCAACAGGACACTTTAGTACCTGTTTTGGCTCCTGAGGGGTCACTTTAGTACACTCTTTCTGCTCCCATAGAGGCACCAAATCCAATTAGAAAAAACTAAATGAGTTTAAACAATAAATTTTATACAACCAGTACAACCGCTAGCCTATATGTACCTGTTTATATTTGAGTGAACATGTATTCAACTTGGTGACTCCATCAATAAAAACCTATATGGAGGACCAGGAGAGTCACTGAAAAAGAAAAACAGTGTTCCAAATTTAACATTTAAATCATACTATTAGAAATCTAATCTTTCTTTTCTTAAATGAAATTATTAAATCGTAAATATTAGTTGTATGTATTAATTATTAGATCAGATACTGTAATTTGAAAATGTATCATTGAATCCTTTTTCTAAATGGGTTTTTAAAAACAAATTGTCATAAATCTGATCATAAATAGCTTTCCTAATCACACTTTTAAAAAGCTTACTCCTCAGGTGTAACCAGCTCTGTCATGGATTATTGAACTAACTGTGGCAGTCTAACCAATCGGACCATGATTGTTTGAATTGATTTTCAGTTTGCAGGGACCAGAAGGGTCATGCAAAAGATAAATGGAAAGTCTAAAGTAAAAAAAAAAAAAAAAAAGATAAATGGAAAGTCTAAAGTAAAAAAAAAAAAAAAGAAAATGAAAAAGCCAAACTTTGCTACCATAGAAGGATTTAGCAAAAACTGCACCAGATGATTATGAATGCAGAGACCTAAAACTTTCAAATCTGCCATTCCAAAGCCACAATTGTAAGCTTTGTTTTTCTGTCTTTCATTCAGGACAAAACAAGCTGATCCTGTGGTTGGGAAAGAGATTCAGGTCACCGTCTGCAATGAGGAGAAGGTCGTCTGTGGAGTAACAAAGCACACGACATGCACAGATATGATCCAGGCCTTACTGGAGGACCACAAGTCCCTACCAGAGAGCAAAAGGCTCCTGGATGGGGAACCCAAAGACTTCTGTCTTGTGGAGCGCTGGAGAGGGATTGAACGGGCGTTACCGCCTCTCACCAGAATCCTGAGGCTCTGGTATGCTTGGGGCGATGAAAGACCCTTCATCCAGTTTGTTCTCATGAAGACCAGCGATTTTGTGCCACAGGCAGCCAAGAAGGGTGGAAAGTCCAAAGGTGCCCGGCCCAAGAGATGGGAGCTTAATCAAGCTCAGTACGCCCAGCCTCTGCCAGTGGACAAGCAGAAGCGTATGGTGAGAAAGGCTTTCCGGAAGCTGGAGCAGCTTCACAAGGAAAACCGGAGCTCCCCGGGCGCCGAAGAGGTGGAACGGATGGTGCAGCTTATTCTCAACCAAGACCACACCATCAGAGAGCAGATCCAGCGGATGAGGGAACTAGATGCGGAGATTGAGCGGGTTCAGAACCACCCTCAGCAGAGGGGGGACTCTGAAAGCTCAGTGGATCAGGCCTGCAGCCTGGCAGCCAGCAATGAGGAGCAGCTGCAGAAGTACCTCTACACCTGTGATAGCATTGAGCAACTGGAAACGCAGGTTAAGTGGCATGAAGATTTCATCATACATCTTTCCTTGGAAATAGACGCAGAGTTAAGGAAGTTTAGCCTCCCTGCGGTTCCAGAAGAGGACAGCGAGCAGAAAGGAGCCGCGGCTCCCGCTCTCCCTGACACGGACGAGTCTTTCTACAAAGCAGAACTGGAGAGGCTGCAGGATGAAATGAAACACAGCCTGATCAGTGGAGTGACTCTGCAAAACCAAGTCGCGGAAATAGACAAGCAGTTGATGTTTCTGGACAGTTCACTGATAGCCAAGGACCAGGAGTGCTGGCAGCTGGCCACTCAGTTTAACTCGCTGCAAATCATGGACAGCATGGAGGAAAAGAAGCCCAGCCTTGTCCTTGATGAAGCTCAGAATAGCCTGACCAGGACAGTAAAAGCCAAACCCAGCCTGTCCCCTGCAGACGTTACAGACACAGACTCAGACACTGGGATTAGCTCCACGCACAGTCAGGACTCTCTGTCGCCATGTCTCGACTTCCCTCCCCCGCTTGATACAGATGTTTAGAGAAACACTCACACCAGTCACAGGTTATGCTTTAACATGTCTTGTTTATTTGACGTTTTAGGCTATGTAGATTTATTTTAAACAAGAAAAAAATGTACTCTTGCTTTTATAGAGTGATATTTATTGGTTATTTTTTCAGGTTTATCATATTTTTTGTAAAAAAAAAAAAAGCTATTTTGTTAAAACCTTCAAGACACCACTGCTTAATATGTAAATCGTGAAATGTTTAATCAAACCCCTTTTGATTGATTTCAAGCATTCAGTCACTGTCATCAGTTATAGAACATTTCTTTAACAATACATAAATGCCTGCAGGAAAATTACCAATGATGCAAATGATAAAAAAGGTTTCAGTTAGTATAAAAATACAAATAAAATGATGAAATTATTACTTAGAAAGAGCTTACAAGCAAAGGGCTGAACAGTAGTGGATGAAAAAAGATCATCCAAAGCAAACAATAGTAAAAACCTTTAGTGGTCAAGCTAAGTTTAGATATAGGTGGGTTATTCGCTTGGCTTTAAAAGCCTCTGCAGACAAGCCTGCAAAATGTCCAGATTTGGGATAGAGTGGAATATTTGCATTGTTTTTCTTTTCTTGTATTGGTATCACTCAATATGTTCATATGTTGGCTGCTTCATCAGTGCATTCATTAGTGCATTCATCAGTGCATTCATTAGTCATGCAGATTTTATTGAAATTGAGAGATTTTTTAAATTTTATCATAAAAATTGAGAAAGAAAAAGCAATATTTGCTTCATGAATTAGGTCAAAAAATTGCACAGTTAATTATATATATATATATGTACACACACTACATTGCCACTGCTGTTTTTCTGTCTACTTCTACATGTAAATGAGGCTGTAGTGTCCAGCATCTAAGCCTCACTGTTTTAGTGTTTTTCACTTCTTTGCCTTGTTGTTTTTTAACAGTTGTGCTTCATTTAGATCACTTTGATGACCAGAGCACATTTTATTACTTTTTTTTCATTCAAGGTGTTTGGTTTTTTTTATCCACCTTCAAGTTTTGTTTCAGGTTAAAGTAAACAGGGTTTATAATTAATGCAAGACAGGACCTGACAACAGGAAAACCCTGCTGCAGGCAAGATGGCAGACAACGAAGGCAATATGTTCACTATATCCTGTTTCCGTGTCATCTCTTGCCACACAGGGACCACCCAAATTTTAGCTAAAAATAGAAAGAGAGGCAGATTTTTTTGTTTTGCTTGCTTGATAAAGCAAATTTCCTCTGAGTCGAGTCCTCTGCTACCATGTTGCTGGTTGCTGACTTACCAGAAAGCTGTTAAAGGGACTCAGTGCATCCATTACTTACCTGTCAAGGTCTTAACCATCATGTCTTTTTTTTTTGGCCTTTCTTTCCTACTTCAAATCAGAAACAAAAGTGGAAAAAAAAAGGTAATAAGGAAAAACTTTTTTATGTGCATGTTTTTCCCTGAAGCAAATTTCCTGTTAAACTTGTTGGTTGAATCTTTTGTTTCCAAGCGGCCTCGTTAGTCTGGAGCAGCTCATATTCTGTTGTAAACATGAGTCCCAACAGGCTGGGTTGGATATGTGACAACCTGCATTAATAACTACTCATCTGACCAGTTAATAAAATCTTTACTACCTAAACTTTTTTTATTGAGCAGATAAGTGAAAGAGTTCAGTAATATAATACAAAATAAATTTAGAATAAAATCATTGTCAGTTTAAGTTTATGATATTAAAAACATTGTCTTATTTTAATTCAATTCAGTTTATTTATATAGCACCAAATCACAACAGATGTCATCTCAAGCCACTTTACAGAGACAATTCAACCAGATCATAGAGTCAGATTGGTTAGAAGTTTTCTATCTAAGGGAAATCAGTTGATTGCATCGACTCATTGACTCGAAGCCAGTCACTCACACTAAGGATGCTTGCAGCGACAGTGGAGAGGAAAAACTCCCTTTTAACAGGAAGAAACCTCCAACATAACTAGACTCGGTGTAAGCGGCCATCTGCCGAGGCCGACTGGGGTTCAATGAGACAGAAGCAGACAAATAGAAACAAGCAGAGATACAAAAGGCAACTGTAAAAGGCGGCCTCATCCACGAAACACACATCCAGACGAGCTCCGAGCCAGCTCCCACGACAGAGAATGAAGAGAACACTTCCAGACAGTCTCAGTCAGAGAAACAGGGCTACACTGGAAAACAGGCTGATGGCAGCACCACAGCTGATATTTCTCTCCAGAATAGCATCACAGCCAAACAGGAACAGATGAAGCTACTATGAGAAAAGCAGAGAGGGAATAACATTAGAGATTGAACTAACAGATTCTGCAAAGTGGGAGAATAGAGATAGAATGGAGCAGAATTTAAGTGCATAATATCTAATTTTCTTAATTTAACGATCAAAATAATACCATTCACAGATCATCATTTTTAACTGCTCAAATTAGGGGCAAATACTCTGATTTTAAGAGATTTTCACTTATTTGTAAATTGTTTTTGCAGTGTGGGAATTGCATTGCAGAAGTATTATACTTGTTTCATTGCAACCACAAAGGGAATACTATGAAATAGAAAATTATCCAAGGTTTCAGATCCATCCCCCTGAGTTTATACAGTACATCCAACTTTTCTATGAAGGCCTCAGAGTTTTTAAAGATTAATACAACATCAGCGAAGACCAAGGAACACAGTAGGAGGGTCAGGTAGAGGCTTTAAGAAGGGCTTCAAAAACTGCTTACCCCAACAAAAGCCAAACAAATCAGCAAACCTACCATGACCTGGGAGTCCAAATGTATTGGCAGGCTGAATAAGAGGAGCATTTATCAGAGAACCAGTAGCAAGGTTCGTGTTAACTCTGGACAAATCCACAACTCAGGTGGAAAATCCTGTGGAATGAATTTTGTTTCATGTTTTGTAAATAGAAATTTGAAGGAAAAATAATGCAATCCAGAAACAAAACAGTGAAAAAGAGTTTTAAGAATAATTTTGCTGTTTTCTTAGTTTTTTTATATATATATATATTTTGTTTTGTTTTTTTCAATGTTTTACAATGTTCAATATTTTTACAGATGTCATCATATACAAATGACTTTTTTGAGATTGAGATTTATAGCTCAATCTTATTGACCAATAACAATGTTTCTAACGTACATGCAGAACATTAGAAATGCATCTTGGCTCCTCGCTCTGGAGGAAAGGACATAGAAGAGAAGAGAATGTGACTACTATTAAAACTCTAGGGGAGATTTGATCAAATAAGATTAAAAAATAGATATTTATATACATATATAATTATAAATGTACATTTAGAAAAAAAATGCATAAAAAAAAAAAACTTGGTAAACAACACATACTATTAAAACCTTTTTTAATAAGGAGGTTTAAACTTTAATTTCTGGATTGTATTTTCCTTTAAATTTCCATTTGCAAACAGTGTTCTTTCTTTGCAACAATAATTTAGCAAAACTGACTCCATAAAAAAATCTATTATAGCACTCTGCTTATTTGTTTTTTGCAAGAAGAATTAATACGGTTGTAGCAGAACGATGCAGTGGACTTATTTTTTTTTAGTAAGGACAGGATCCCTGTTTACACCTGATCAAACTCTTTCTTTCCAACACACCCCTTTCTTTTTATCTACCAAGTAACATAAATCAAATATAGACGAACAAACGTAGAAAAGAACTTTTTGCAGGGCACTCCATGCTTCTCAGCTGTTCCTCAAGAGACAGAGGAAGACAAACTGTTCAGAAAGGTCACTTTTGCAATAAATCTTTCTAAAGTCGTTCTAACTACTGATGCCGTTTTAGTTTTTTATAAAAGCTTCTAACAATTAAAAAAAATGTTAAAGTGCACAATGAGAGTATTTATTTGAATGAAAAGAGATTTTTTTTCCCCCATCATGGTTAGTTTGAAGGGAAATACGGTGTTTACCCTTTTAGGTTCTCAGTGCATCTACTGCCTGTCTTTAAATAGATCTAACTAAAGTAATGATGTTTTATATTAAAACAAGCACCTAATTGTTTTGGATCTAGAACAAATTTAAAAAAAATCTGATGACAAGGTCATAAATGAAGATGAAACTGCTGTAAATTAGAAACTTATTTGTATAAACTCATTTGTTATTGTAAAAGCTATTTATTTATGTTATAGTTATTTTTTCCTGCTGAGTCATCTGAATAAAACGCCACACTCAAAGAAAAAAAAAAAAAAAAAAAAAATCTGTTATGATTGCTGCTTTTCTGGTTTTTATTTGCTGAACATGTAAATCGATCATGTTAATGTTTCCATTCTCTAATAAAGACTTTTTCTGCAAACCTGCACAAGATGATCTTGGAGTGAGTTCTATGGAGGGAGGGAATGTGGTTCCACTAGTGTTGCCTGTAAAGATCTGGTTTTGTAAATGTAAATTGTAATTTGAAGAAATGACAAAATATAAAACTAAAATCTGCAAACAAACAAAAAAAAAAATGCTAAAAAATAAAAATTAGATGTTAGAAATAAATACAATTTAGAAAAATAAAATTGGAAAGTTAATTCTTAAAAATAAATTAGAAATAAAAATAAACATAACAAGCAAACTGCACTGTTAAAACCTCACTTGTTGATTACACTTTTTCAAATCTCAATTAAATTTTAAAAAATCTAAAATTTTTTATCTGTGAAAACATTTAAAAAAAACTTTATAATAATAAAAAGTATTGCTTCTAATACTTCAAATTAAAGAATTATTATTTTTTTTTTATTTCCTTAAACAAAACTTTTTTCTTTGCTTCTGACAAAATTCTCTCCATGCTGTTGATGAAATGAGATGAGAGCGGCCCAAACAGGATCAGACGGCTTGCTGTTTTAGATGACGTTTGGGTTAAAGCTCCACTTAAAGCAGTTTAAAGATTTCTCAGACTGAGTCACTGCTGAGAAAAAGGCAAAGCTCCCTAAGAGCTGCCTTTCAGCCGCTGCAGCGTATAATCAAATGAAACGGTCGCCAGGGAAGCAGCAAAAAACAGCAAGCCATCTCTTCAAGTGAAGGTACTGCTGACAGACTAACACTTTGTGCTCAGGGCCGAGCGGAGAAGCCGGGGATATCTGTTTCACAAAGTAATTGCTCAACCCCTCTCCCCTTTCTCCTTCTCAAGCCTCTAAGTAAGCAAGCCTGAAAGGCTAGAGAGCTTACATTGTGAACAATCGTGCGATGGTGCCTCACCTGCTGACGGATTTGAAATGTTTTGTGTCTCACTGACATCCATACAGCCAGTTAGGTAAAGGAATCGTACGATGGAGATTATAATGCTATTGAGACTTGCACTGGATTGGTGACGGTCAGGAGTCTGAATATTTTATTCTCCACCCAGGAGTAGCATGTTGGGTTTGAATTTTTTAAATTGCCACTGAGGTACTCTCGCCATGCTCTGCTTGTCTTAAGTGTTGGTGGATTTCAAAATGTTTGACATGGATCTTAATAAGGGGTTTCTAAAGGACAACACGTTTTTGGCATGTTGAATGATATTGTGCAGCTCTGGACCACGGTTATAGAATACAACAAATTCAGGTGAAAATGTTTAAAGCTACAATGTGTAATTTTTAGCTACATCTAACAGTCAGACTGCAACAACATCACCGCCCTCCCTACACATACACAAACACAGACTGCCTCTCCCACTCCGCTGCA